TAAAGTTATGGGGAACGTTACAATAGAATTCAACGAATGTTTGTTTTCTCCTCCACGCGTTTCTTTTTTCTAATCTTTCTTTGACCCTCTCGTTAATGTTCTTCAAATCGAAGTCGCGAAATAAAGATCGCGTGGTCGGATATTAAAACGTGTGCCAGTTGAAATCTGTTCCGAGAAGAAGCAAAGGTCGGATCGAGGGGTTCGCTCGTATAAGCGTGTTTGCGTTTATAGGCTTGTAGAATCGCGTGTACGATTTGGCACGTATTCTTTTCTCATTGGAAATAACACGGTGATGAGTTGAAAATAATTTCAATCTTACGCGTACGTGCCTAATTTTAGATAGAGGATAGATATTTTTCTTCCTTCTAACAATAAAATCATAATACACAAAATGTCAATGTCTTATTTAATTCAATATATATAATTTTTTATTTATTTCTAGACACATAAATTTGGATTATCACAAATATATTATGATTTATTAATTATACAAATTTGATACCGTGAATTTCATTGCATTTAGATTGCTATCAAGGCTTTTGCGATTTCCTACTATTCGTTTCCTGATGTAATCAGAAATTACTTGGGGCTATCTCATGCGAGTTTGCCATACCCGATGATAAAAAGTCTTTAATTACGGACGTATCGGTTTACACAGGCGCTCTAATTGGACGAAGTTAAAACGACCAGATTCTCCTTCTCTCTCTCTCTCTCTCTCTCTCTCTCTCGCTCTCTCGCTCTCTCAGTCAGTGGACTCGTTAAACATTATCCAGAGTAATACAATATGCAACGAATGCGATCGGGCCAACTGGAAGAACACCCTACAGGAGCTCAGAGAAATCAAAGGAACTGAGATACGAACCAATCCAGTTGGTTTACTAATTGTACAGGGTGGTCCAAGTTAACTACATTTCATCCCATATCTTTTATCCAAATGTTAACATTCGTTTCGTGATTGTTCACCCTGAGAAAAACTACATTTTATTGATTTTTTAAGTTTACCTTGTTTCATCCCAATTTTGTTCTTCGTAATTCGCAGTTAGCACCGATCGTAAAATGAAAATTAATCTCGAGGGAGATCACGAATTTGAGAGCGGATATTTATCAATTTTGAATATTACTTTGTTCAGAATTTGGAGTTAACGAGTTTTCGGTCGTAAAGCAAAAATTTAATGAAAATTATGAACCTTCGCGAATTGAAAATTGATCCTTACAAGATGAGAATTTTGGTAGGTGTTTTTACTCTTTTGAGTAGGATGAAAAAAATGTACGCGAATGTATCGTTAATCCCCGATCGATTTCTTGGTACATAGGTCGATACCGTTATGGGAACGATCGCATGTAAGTACATGGCACCTTTCTACGTGTATGTACCGATACGAATACGTTTAACGTCTGTATATGCGTTAGTATTTGTAATTCAGTGATAGGCCATCGAACGAGAGATGAATGTCGGCGGGTTCATTAGTAATTACCACCGGCACTTCCCCCACCATGGTATTATAATGACGGGGTAATGAATATTCCATGAGATTCGGAGTGTTTTAAAGGTGTCCTTTTAAAGACGTCCACGAGTATCGAAAGTTAAAACGAACGAGAAAGAAGTTTTCTCAAGATGGATTAAGGATTTCTCATCTCTTTTTATAAGATTTCAGTTTCTTCGAGTTGATGTCTCCATTTCCTCGTGCTTACATATATGTACACGAGTATATATATATGTAGACGATCGATCCGGAACAGCATTCCTCTTCGTCTCGTTTAGATCTTCAAATTCTTCCTTAACCCTTTAAGCTCTGCTGCAGCCGTATCATTTGTTGCGACTGCTAAGTGTATGTATTTAAGGAAACGTGTTTTCAAGATCGACATTTCGTTCCATTCGCGCAACTATGCATTTCATCCTATCGTGCAATAATATTCAACATCAAATAATATTCCTATGGAAATTTCAATGCAGATCGAAACTTTTTATACCAAGCCAAATTACATATTATTCAATCATTTTTATATATATATACATAATAATAATAATTATCTTCTTTTTAGTCTGCGCTGCTTACTACGCGTGTCGAACATTGTTCAATTAGAATTTTCGATCATTTAACTAAACTATGATTTATAGTGTCGAATAAATGTCGACCACTTCTCTAAATAGGGCACCCTAAATGTCTTCGTGCTAGCAGGAACTGAGTCTTTTATCGAACAACATTTCAAATCAAAATAAGGGAAAACAAGTTAGAAAAGTAATAGAAAGAGAACGGATATAATAAAAGTGGAGGCGAACTGTGCGTGAAACGATGCAGGGACTCAATTAGAGCCGCTGACGTTCGTTAACAGGAGGAGGTCGTTAACTGCACTTTGCTGTGGTGCACTCGCATCCGACTTGCAGGTATATATACGTTAAATACACGCGCACACGAGAAAATATCTTCAGTAGTATGGCGGTGTATACTTAAAACGATATATCTTCCAGAGTGAGAATCGGAATCTTTTTCTTCCAGCTCAAATTCTTCCATACCGATTGCAAAAAAAAAAGAAAAAGAAAAAGAAACAAACAAAAACAATATGGTTGCTCGTTTCATTCTATCGATCAAGTCTATGTAACGCGTGATTAGAAAAATATATTAATAATCTACGCGATATTTAACAGTGTACCGAAATGTTTCATTATGCCTCATAAATAATCATTATAGTCTTTTTTATACATTAACTTTGATCACTTTTTTATTGGATGAAAAGAATCTGTTCCACCTAAATGATATCATTGATCTTTAACGACACATCCATTTACATATATTTTCAAACTAAATTACGTCGACTATATATTTATATACGTATACATTTATATATAATACAGCACATATACAACCATAAACCGAAGTAGGCTATTGTAATTTATCGCACACTCGGCACATTAATCTTTAATATATTATATATATATATATATATATATATATATATTCATCATGCTCGTTAATACAAGGTATGCGGAAAGACGGGAGGAGGGAGGCAGGGGAAAGTTGGTAGGGAAAGAAGGATCGAACTGGATTTCTTCGCGTCCCTTGTTCATTTTTCGTCGTTTTAAGAAGACCAAATAATTTATCTAAGATTATAATAATCGAGAGAGGGAAAAGTGAATAGGTATATGCGTCTTCGTCGCGTATACAAATGAAATGAATAATTGTATCGATAAATGGAATGAGCTGACGAGTTTGGAGAAAGATTTGAAAAAAGAAAGGGAGCTCGGCGGAAGTTTCGGTATAATAAGACTGCTGAAGAAAAAAGAAATATTAAAAAAAATATATTTATTATATATATTTGGGAAGATAATGTTATCGTAAAATCTGGATAAGTTTGATGGGACGAATCGCGTAAGTTGATTTCAATAAGGCGTACAATCATGTAAGCTCCAGCGCCCTTTAGGAATCATGCCGCACCGATTAGCGGGTTCCCTCTTCTTAACATCAGTTCTTTTCATACTCTCCCTTGCAGTATAGTACGGATCTGTAGATCGTAATAATACCCTCGAAGGAGATCCTATCATCATCGATTTTCCAAGCAGATGGTAGGGATAACTAACGGCAGCCTGTATTCTCCCGGCAACCACGATTATTTCTACCTAATTGTGCTTAGAACAGCTTGTTACCTCTAGATCTCTTTCTTTATCATCGTTGAAACGAAGATAGAAAGGGATGGTTGTTGGCTTTAAACGTACCGCTGAGTTCAACTATCTTTCTCTTTCGCGTTGGTACTCACACTTATGGGTTCACCCTGTTCGTCTATAACAAGGCCGATTTCTCATTGTAAGCACGCGTCTTACCGCGCCTCCTCCGCCATTTTTACGGACCTTCTTTTAATGGGCTCCACTTAAGCTCGATCTAAAATAAGAGAAAGAGAAAGAGAAAGAGAGAGGGAGAGAGAAATAAGAATGTAACATCGCATTACGACACTGAGTTTTAACGATTCTTTCTTCTCTCCTCCTATACTTTTACGAATCATACTTTACCACGCTTACCACCGCTATCATCAAGGATTTATCGAGAAAATTCTTTGACGACGTTCATTTGCACCGAATGCTACACGAGTTCAAATTACGACGAGATGTTTTTCCTAAATTCTCGCCGAAACTTATTATAAATTCTATAGAAAGTAATATTAACCGCGCAAGGTGACCTAACAGTGAAATAAAAAAAAGAGAGGACTAGAGATATTCAATGAAATATCTTCGAAGGATGTGTCATGTCGTTAATTTCATGTCGTTAATTTCATGTCGTTAATTTCATGTCGTTAATTTCATATCGTTAGTTTCGCGCCAAGATCTATAGATCTTTTTCTTAACGGAGATAAAAGAGTCGAAATTTTGCATGTCTAAGAAAGTTGGCACAAGGATCATCATCCTTTGTATCGATTCGTTTCTCCGACAGTTTGTGTTTTTCTCATTTTGCTGACAAAATTCACGACGTACAGGGTGAACGTTATTATTTTATTTGTCTTCTTAAGGTAAGACGTTGACAAAAGTATCTAATTCTCGTAAATAAAACTTGTTATAGAGAGCAATTATGTTAATAATATTTGATCCCATATGAAAGAGAAGAAAGCAGCCCAAGGTTCGTAAGTATTGGGGAAAGGTGTGTTTAAAAATAAATTATTGGCAGCATATTTAGGACCGAGGACCCCCTAGGTAAGGACTTTTTGGAAAGAAAATCTTTGAATATCTTTACGAAATATTGGATATATTTAAAAGGGATAAAAATTATTGAGCCACCCGGTATATTCATAAATATATAAGTATATTAAAAGACTCTCGCGCGCTATTTGGTAGGCATAATTTGGTAGGCATAATTTGGTAGGCATAATTTGGTAGGCATCATTTGGTAGGCATATTTGGTAGGCATATGGCGTAAGCCTTTTCATATTTTGTTTCTCGCATATTATATTTTACATTTTTTATATCGTATGATATATATATATATATGTATATATATTTTGTTCTCTCGTTGTAGCGATTTTTCAAAGGATGTCGGTGTCGAGAGGTCAACTGAGGATCCAGGGTGTCGCGACTTGCCTTTACCTCTGTATGGATTCCTGCGGTCTGCTTTATGGCTCGGTAAGTGAAGCCGTCCATTGAAAAACTTGCACTTTAACTTAACGCAAGAAGAAAAATATAGCTGATCTGTTCTTCTCGGTCTATTCGAACAACAACAGTTTCTTTTACTCTCTTCTCAACATTCCCCATGAGGATAAATCCTCTGCCACGCGACCCTCTCTCCCTCTTTTTCTATCGTAGTCGCGTTTCGAACAGAAACTTTAAGTACACTTAAATCCTATCGAGAAAATAACTGATGGCTAATGTTAAATTCTATGGATGAATGAAGTTTGCTCAAGGTTTCTACTACTGACATCAAATTCCCTGCTTACCTACCGTTTATACATTTACCGTTTATACATTGGCTGCTCTATTCATTTTCCAAGATATTTCATAAAATAATAATATTTGACTAATATACGAGATGTTCATGTTAATTAGCTGTAAACGATCGCTTCTCGTATTTTTCTTTTTTATTTGACTTTTACGAGATTCTCATGTTTATTAGATGTAAATAATCACTTCTCGCTCGTTGTCCATTTTTTACATTTGCTCGCGCGCGGCTAAGATATTCACGCGCACCAGGTGTCGGGGGAATGTGTCATTTTATTTACATCATATTTTTATACAAATTCGTTACTTTTAAATTAGATATGGATAGTATTTTTGTCAAATATTCAAGAGAAATTGGAAACGTCAGGCCTGGAATAATGCGTGTATTCGTATGAAGTTGGTATTTGAAAGGAAACGGAAAGAAAGAGAGAATAGAATAACTGGATAGAGTTGTACGCGTTCGATGTAAAAGCATCGTCCGTCCTCTCTTTGATTTGCATGTACCGTTTATCTTGGTTCGACCGCACCACCGTTTGCTCCTTTTCTCGCCGCTAAATCCATTTGAAAGTGTCCCTTTTTCTACTTCCCTTTTTCTACTTCCCTTTTTCTACTTCCCTTATTGTACTTCCCTTTGTGCACTTCCCTTTTTTCCTGCTATCCCTCTTATTCGCTTCCTTTATGGTATAGGAAGGAACGCGGTTACTTTTTTCGAGACGACTGCTGCTCCATTATTCATACAATTAAGCATCCTTCGCCTCAAATATCGCGATTCGTCCTGTTATATAATTATATACCTATTGTTATTCTATCTTGCGAAAAGATTCGATCGAGCCATCAATAAAATTCAATCTTCCACCGGTGTCGAAATTTATGGAGACGAATGGAAGAGACAATGGCTCGACCAATAAAAAACCATTGCCATGGTCAATCTATTAACGAAGCGATCAACGAACCATGCAAATTTATAAATTCCTCGACAAACAACAATGTTGGGACACCCTATATATATATATATATATATATATATCAGATCGGTCTATAAATCTTTTGGAATACTTTAAGAGAGCTCTATTCGATCATGCGTGAAATTTGAACTCGATTAGAAACGGTAGTTCGTCCTCGAACTGTTCGTAAAGTTCTTTTCATAAATGAACACGCTCGAGAGGATTCGACGAGTGGCTTTTCTACCAACGGATTCAAATTGACTGTCCTCCCTATTGACACGTGCACGCATGTGTTCCTGCCAAGGGCCATAAACATCGAGGAACCTTGTCTCGATGAAAGCTCCTATCGTTCAACACCTCGAAGGGACCGTCAACGCCCTTATTTCCTTCCTTTATTTTTCATTTATTTGAAATTTTTGATCGAGTTTAGTACGCGTGTACGTAGAACTCCCAACTCGTATTTAATAGCATGCAAGACAAACATTCGAAGAAAGGAAAAATATTGAAATATTCCCATCGAGTTTATAGGAAAAAAATCACGCGTTACGATAAATTCTGACAATAAATTACAATAAACGTTCGATCTCTCACTCAACCGAGAAAAGGAAAAAGAAAAAACAAAGAGAGCTAATAAAAGAAAAAAGTAGGGGGGAAAAAAGATGATAAGTTAAAAGTTGCTAGGTAGGCTAAGGGTAAGGGGGGGGCAAGAAAGGGAGAAGAAAAGTAACGTGGAATGCGAAGAACTCGGCGGTCGATCGGCGTTTGCTAGTCAGGAATCTCTCTCACATGCGAGTACTACCACACATACGCGAACGGTAACGAGAAAGCGAACGGTCTGATTATCCGCTTACGAGATGCAAATGGGCCACTTACACTCGGACGGAAGTCTCCGGGCAGGTATTACGTTATATCGAGAATAGATCCGAAGGTCGTTCGAATGCCGTGAACGTCCCCGCGATGATATACACACGCATATGCTTATATATATATATATATATATATATATACTGGGCGTTGCAAAATGATTTGCCCCAAATTTTGATAACTTAATAGGAGGGGCGAGAGCGGTGGCGGGGGCGAGAGCGGGGGCGGGGGCGTGAGGGACACCAAGTACGAAGGTTCTTTTATTAATAAATATGTGTCCGCTTACGTGAATCGTTTAGCAGCAGCCGAGGGAGTTTGACCAAAGGAAAAAGTGAAAAAGTTGGAAGGAAAAATAATAGAGTTAAGGTTTTGCGGCACCCTGTACCTAATCATTCCGTCTATCTACCTATGTGTCCTCCTTTGCTTTTCCATTGGTTTTTTCCTATCTCCCGAAGTGGTGGTAACAGATCGAGGAGATTTCTACTTGGCGACGATCTTCTTTCACTAACGATCGTCGCGTGCTCGATCGGCCGATCGTTAACTCTCTACACGACTCTCTCGATCTAACGTTTATTTCGATTAGAAAATTTCTAACCGATCATTAATCCTCTTCGCGTAGATTCTTCGACTTAACGAATACCTTGATTTACTTTTTTTTTATGTCTTTCCCATTTTTTTTTATGTGCACCTACTTTTTAAGGGTTCTTATCTTCTTCTTTCTTTTTATTTTTGTTTACTCGGGAAACAGGATTATATAAATTTCAAACGAGTTACGTGGCTCAAAGCGAGTCTCTCTATTTCTCTCAGTTTACGACGACAGAGTTAATTGAAAGTTAGCATCAATGCGCGTGGGCTTAGCTGATAAAGTGGATTAAGTCGTACACGAACTTGAAATCTTATTACGGAAATCTGATGTGCTCGTGTTAATAGCAGGCTTGCCTATACTCCTGTGCTTCCTATATATGGGGGAGTTACGTGTTAGTTGGAATTTGACTAGACGTTATTAGAAATTCTAGCAGGTTTAGTAATCTTGGTAAAATCAAATCTCCCTATTCTTATTTCTATTACTATTATGTTGCTTTGGGAAACACGTTTATTTGTATTTCAATGGAAGACTTAAACAAGTTTTGCACTTGAGTCGAAAAATTCGAAATAGCCTAATTTGTCAGCTCGTCTTTAGTAAAACGAAAGAATAATGTTAATCTAATCGAGGAACTTTTTGGAGGAGATGGAAAAAAAACGTATTCGAATTGGGCTTTGGCTAGCTTTGAAATAACAACGCTAATCGTCTCCGTCTTGTTAGTTGATACGTTCACGTAAATCAGTTCCATGGAAGCTCCCTGAAAATTGGGAATCCGTTGGAACCTGGTCTGTACCAAAAGATAAGATCTCACCTTCTCGTTGAAACACATAGAAATAAGGCGAGGCGGTCTCTTTCCTCAAGGATTTTTCGCCATGGAATGGGAAAGGAGCGCGCGTTGCCCCGGCTAATTATCTTAAATACTTCATTTGTACTCGGCCAGAGAGGAAAGGATTGGAAAGATTTCTTTCCCCAAATTACTCTCGGCATCTCATCAAAGAACGATCGCCCAGCCCCACCACTCGGATTAGATAAAGGTGCCTTTAATTATCGCGCCCACGTGAAAGGTGTCTTCGTTTCTTTTTCTCTTTTCCCTTTTGATTTTCAAAATAAATACAAAATATTAGATTACGGGAGAACGCGAGAACCACTGTACAACGTCAAATTCCCAATCTTCTGAAGGAAATAAAAAAAAAGTATGCGAAGTTAAGATGTATAAAATAAACATAAAGCACTCTTTATTGAATGATTTGATGATCATGTTCGAGACACGCGAATGGCTGTATTTGTCAAATTCGATAAATAAAATAGAAAAATTGGAATCATTAAAACGTATACCTTTAAGATAATCAATTGGATGGAACGATCGTGTTAATTCGCGCGTGTCCCTGAGGTATCTTTATTTTTCTTGTTTCTCTATCGAAATAAAGATAGACGAGAGGAAATAAAAAGAGAGAGATAGAAAGTGAAAGTCGAAAACGTTGGGAGTAACGAAAAGAAGCGGAGAGTTGTTAGGATGGGCAAGAACATCAGCAGTTAAATCCACCCACGCGATCGATAAATAGACCTGGTTACGGTGTTCCTCGATGATCCACGGATTTCACGGATGTAGAAAATGCACGAGAGTAAAGTTTATCGCGAAGAGGAAGTAGACGTATATAAATTAAAGAAGTTTGGAGAGAGAGAGCGAGTCACGTTGAGATAGGGAAACGTTGTTTAACAACGTTAGTAGGAACAACTTAAGAAGAAGGAACTCCTCTCGGCAACCTCTCGACGACAACTTTCGATTCCACCTATGTACTTAGGTATAGGTACCAATAAAACGAAACGCCTCGAATAAATATCTTGGGATACGCGATAAAGCTCAACGACTTTCGGTACAAACTTGGAGGATGAGTAGTAGTAGTAGTAGTAGTAGTAGACGAAGAAAACGGAAAAGAGCTCGTTGATTTTCTTACGATTATAATCGATTATAAAAATCATCTAACTCAACTAAGTAATGACGTCTAACATAGAAGGACAAGTGGAAGGATTTTTTTGCTTGTCCTCTTATCTAAGGATCCATGTCCTTGATGACAGGTATTTCGAAAATACAAGGAATCGAGAAAAGAAGCTAGGCGAGGGAAAAATAAAGACCCTCGAAGAGAGAGCCTTAAATCTAAAAAAAAAAAAAAAAAAAAGAAAAGGAAAAAAAAGGGAAGGCTCGACGATTCAATGACGCGTCAAACAACAGCGGGGGGTTGTTTTCCACAGTTTTCGGCTGACTTTCAAGTTTAATTGGCTCTCTCTCCCTCTTTTCATTTCTTTTTATCATTTCGAGGTGTCACATAAATATTATAATTCGTTCGTGTCACTCCCCGATAGAGTTGTATGTTCTTTCCTAAAAAGAGAACAACTGGTAGAAATGAAGAAATAAAGAAAGAAAGAGAAACCTATCGACGATCTTTCAGAGACATATGTGGAGTTCCCATGGGAGATACTTGCCAAATGGAAAATCAGTGTGTCTCTTTACGGACAAGTTTTACTCTTTGGAGAGAAAAAAAGGTGGTGGCGTGCAGGGAATACACCAAATGGGAGGGATCAGTTGAGAGGATCAGGAGAGACCACCCTGACAGAAAAGTGTCGATCAATCTGGACCATCCGCGCCTCAACCCCACATCCCTTTCACAACGCAACAGAACTTGTTCTGCTTTTTTCTCCCAACATTTATCCCATAAAACTCTACAGCGTCTACACGAAAGATTAATACGTCGTCTACGGGGGATGATTAAATTACGTTATTCGTAGAAAAGAACACATAGCGAGAAAGAAAATGTAGATTTTCATTCTGAAAGATTTATTATTTTTCCACCGGTCGGCGTATAAGTAGCATTTCTACCAACACGATAAACATCGTTAGACCCAGCGATACATCAAACACCGAGAACAAAAATCTATTAATCTGTTCAAAAGCATATACCGACTACCTTCGGAAAGAGATATCTTTGGTTATTATTTTGCTTTGTTTGTTAGGCTTATAAAGAGAATCTAAAGATAGATATTCAAATATTCAATAAAATCGGGATGATTAAAATATTAGAATATACAACCATCTTGTTCGGCGGGGTAGTAGGCCTGAACGTAAAAACTCGTAAAACCGTAGAAATAAACGTGAAATCGGTGGTAATTAAAACTAACGATATAATGATCGATAACGATGTTATTCGGCAGCGGAATAAAAAGGCATAAAAAGTTTGTTTTTATAATGCAATGGGTTTGTAATTGAAAAATAAAAATTGAAAGATATTATAGCACGCAAGGATTGTATACTTGGTTCGCGTCAGAGATAAATAGTTTGGAAGGTGGTCCAGTAGTGCGCCCTGGAACGAAGAAGACGATGAAGAAGACAACAAACAGCTTGTGGCTCGTGACTGAGAGCGAGCAGTGGGCGTTGAAGAAATGCCTCTAAATAATTTTCAGAAGAGGAGAGATGTCTCTACGCTGGTCACTGGCCGATGCCATAACTCCAAACCCCCATGGGGGTTCTCAAATCTCCCTCTCCGCCATCGGAAAGTGCATCTTTCCGGGTGTAAAAGAAAATATGACGGACGGACGGACGGACGGACGGGTTTTCGACGAAATCCATTTAACGTTGAATCCAATTAGTGATTTGTATAAACGAAACGTTAGATCGAGCGGTTCGTTTAAAGGTAGTATCAACTAGAAGACAATTGGAAAGAAGAACCACTGAAGACTCGCAAACGATACGTCTTGTTGTATGGAAGACGCTGACATCGTATTTTGCTTGGTTTACGAGTGCGGTTCCTTTAAACGACAAGAAGAAAGTAAACTACACGGGGGTTTGTCGGTGGATCGTCCCCCCAATCCAGTGTGTTAACTTAGACCCGAACAATCTATACGAGATCGTAATTTTCAAGCCTAAACGTCGTCAGGGCGTCCGTTAACACTTTCGTTATCCAACCGCGTCAAAGTTATTGGACACGTTCCTTAGAAATGATTCCGTGTGCGTTAGAACTTGGTACATTATCGAATAATATATTCTATCCATAGATACCTCTGAGAGATGGCGTTACACTCGACCAAGTCCTTTCTCACAAAGGCTATCATCGAACCAATAGGCTCCCACGGATTAAGTATAATCCTAATCGTGGTCAAATGGTGTCGAGAATAAATCGACTTACCAAATCCAATCCCATGATTTACGATTATTGGCATGGCGCGTGTGGTTAGTTCCCCATATCCGGCTTCCAAAGCATCCAAAGCTATTAATTTGCTAATTCGATTAGTTCTCCTCTCTTACTTTACAGGTTGTCCGGTGGGGTTAGCAACGGCGCTTGAACGATTAGGATGCCGTAAATCTTCGACTCTCCGTGTCATTTCATTTGCCAAAGACCGATCGTATATCTCATCTCTTTCTCTCTCCTACGAGAGCTGCGGAATGAAAAGATCTTCCTTTCTTTTTTTTTTTTTTTTTCTACCTTTTGCCCTTTATTTTGTTCCTAGTAGAAGGAGGAACATTCGTATCATCCGTTTAACGAGAAACCAACCCGATTAGAGATCGTTCAGCAAATTATTTCAACGCTTCGGTAATAATCATCGCAGTCGGAAAGATTTCAACTGATTCGTAAATTGTGTTACGCTTATTACCATCAACTTGATGATTATTATACCTCGTTAATAGCGTGAGAAAAGAACGCTATATAAGGTTACGATGAGAAGAATCTTATTCCTCGATAGTATCCCTATAAAATATATAATCCCTTCTCCCGACGCGACTGTTGCGAATCGAGGAAGCCTAGGAAAATCTAGCATTGGAAATAATCATTTCCGTAATAGTCGAGTGTGATAATAGCGTGGCTGCCTGGGTGCGTTTAAAAGAGATCCTAGGATCTAGTTTAAAAACATTTATTTATTCGGTTTGTTTCGATTGTCGCCGGGGAAATTGGCAACCGCCGGTGCTTTCCGATACTTTTCCTTCGTTTGATCGTCGTCGTAGATAATTGGCCTCGAACGATTTCGTTCAATGAAATTCATCCGAGTTCGTGGAATTCCGGCTGTTGCTCGATTCTATGTAAAAAAAATGAAACAGAAATAAAGCGAGCAGTATTCCTTGGAATTCATCCGTCGAAGCAAAGTTGTCATTCCTTCTTAAGGAAAGAACGCATAATCCTTAGCCGTTTCCTATCCGAGAGATCAAGGCGTCTCGTAGATCTTCCGTGTCGAAGGTAGAGTAGCCTTTCGCGTAACGAATGACACGCGCGCGACTAACTAAGACAGCTTCTTTCTCTTTGACGAACCAGATTCAATGGTATCATAAGTAAGTATACGTACTACACACTTCCCTATCTAAGATTCCACCTGCAAACTCGGAAAGATTTTCTTTCATTCTGAAGCTTCTGCTCTTCCGTTGTTGTTTTTTGTTGTCGTTGTTGTTCTTCTTTAAAGATACTACAAACTTTGAGAAGATCAGAAACCAGATTTAATTGTATACGTGTCTAGAATTTCCCTTGAAAAGAGGAAAAAAGTGATAGCAGCGAAACCTCTCGTTGGGTGCAAGTCTCGTTTTTGGAAAGGTTCGTTTTTTGCGAGCCGATGCGACGACTCGAAAGGCAACAAGAAAAAAAAAAGGAAAAACTAGAAGTAGGTCTCTTCATCCTTATCGAAATTGCATTTCGCTGAAAAAACTAAAGTTCTTAGGGGGTCCCTGTTTTTCTCTTGAAAGACAGCTCTTACGAACCACTAAGGATACTTTTATGAGTTAAAGTATCCTTAATGGTTCTCTAATAATAAATCCGTCATCGAAGGGCTTACCGCGCATAAATTTTCTGTCGATACGCGGCGGTCCTGGCCCCGCTATGTCAACTTCATTCGTTCCGATTAACCGCAGCAATAAGGAAGAAGAAGCGGCGCAACGTTGAAAACTATCCCGTCTATCCGTCCTCGTGTTTCTATATATAACCGTAGAGATTCTAGTCGTCTGAGTCAGTAAAAGAGACAAAAACGAATCGACACAAACGTTCGACAAACGAGAGATTCGACAAACAGCCCGACACCGAGTGCGGACCCGTATAATTACATCACCAAACGCGAATAGAGAGGGACAGAGGGAGAGAGTAAAACCTACAACTCGTTTTTTTCTTTCTTCTGGAAAGGAGCGATCTCAATGAAAAGATTTCTAACAAAGCTATTAAATTCCGCTGCATGTCCAGGGATATCTCTTCTTCAAAGAGAGAACAATGTCCTGTGTTTTTCTGCCCCGTTAAGTTGCAACAAATTGTAATGGTACAAATTGTAAATGGTGTATTCCTCTTTCTTTCTTTCTTTCTTTCTTTACGTACAAGGTCGGAAGGAAGGAGAAGTAACGGGTTGAGCGAACACAATGTTTCTAATGACCCTTCATTATCATGCCGGTATCGCAAATTATAGTTTCAAGTAAAAAGAGAGAGAGAGAGAGAGAGAGAGAGAGAGAGAGAGAGAGACGTAAAACTCGCTTGACTATAGAGAACCTTGGCAAGGTAAGCCAGTAATTGCACAATGCCATATTAAATATCGTTGAACTTATTTCGCGTGCACTTGCTCGTAACCAACGTTCGTAAATATTGTTTCTATTATAAAAAAGAAAAAAGAAAAAAAAGAAAGGGAGAAAAGTTAAAGTTAATCCATTTAGCCTAGCTAATCGTACGTTGATGTTTCTTTTTCCAGCGGGAGTACACGGAGGACTGCGTGTTCAACGAGACGTTGGAACAGCACAACTACAACACGTACAGCTCGGTAAAATGGTCGACCGGAAAGAGGACGCTCTACCTTGGATTAAATCGTCGCGGACAACCGAGGAGGGTCCAAGCTAAGGATCATACGCTCGGTAGATTGTCGACTTACGCGAGGGTGCTCACGCAGGTAGCACCGCCGGATCGAGTGGAAGCTCTTCAAAGAAAGATGTTGGGTGCCGAGCACAATGTCCGCCATCGTCACGGTAGTCATGCTCAAAGGCAACAGCATCGGCATCACCAGGAATCCCCCCAGGGTGACCTGAGTCAGCAGCAGCAGACCGTCTGCCCGAATCTCCCAGCCCAAGAGAAGGATGGTAGAGATAAGTTTAGATGTCGCAAACGTAAAAAGAGAAAGAAGAGAAAACGTCGGTGTAGACCCGGGGAGAAAGTTGGTCCGCAGTGTCAATTACCGGAAGGCCGAGAAACGTCGTCGTCGTCGTCGTCGTCGTCATCGTTATCTGGGGCAACCTGCGAGGAGGCTGTCAACGAGGAAGCGTGCAAAAGGCAAGCCCTCCCCGCGACCTCGAAGAAAAAGAAATTCCGGATAGGTGAGGAAAGCTCGTTGGTGGAAAAAGGTCCAAGGGAACCAACGACGACGACGACGACGACGACGACGACGACGACGACGACGACGACGAGGACGAGGACTGGCAGCAACGCCACCGAGACGGAGGACGCGTCAACGCCGGATGTTCTTCACCTGAGCAACACCACCGCCAACGCCCCCGCCAACGCCCCCGCCACCCACGAGGACGAGGATGAGGAGGAGGAGGAGGAGGAAGAGGAGGAGGAGGAGGAGGAGGAGGAGGAGGAGGAGCTCCTCACCACGAGCATCGGTAAGAACCTTGAACAAGCAACGTCAAAAAAGTCAAACGTCGCCGGCACCATTAGTCAAAGTAAAAAGCCTGATTTGCTGGACGGAAAGAAGAAGAAGAAGATGAAGAAGAAGAAAAAGAAAAGGAAGAGAGGTCCCGCTTGGCCAAAGAGGAGGAGGAACCCGTTATCCAGGAAGAAGGAGGATGGCGGGGAGGAGGAGGACGAGGCCGAACCCGAGGGCCTGGAAGAGGAAGAGACGAGAGAGGAGGGCAAGAAGAAAAGGAAAGCGATCGCGGAAATGGTGGAAAGGAAAGATCATCGTCTACGATTGAACGAGCAACAGAAGGAGGGGATTGTAGCAGGGAAGAAAAGGGAGCCAGTCGGGGAAATACCGTCGGTATCCGCGACGAACTCCTCGCTTTCCTCGTCCTCGTCCTCTTCGGCCTCCTCCTCGAACCGTTCCTCCCCCAAACGAAAGAAGAACGCCGCATCCCAAGTAAGACGAAAACTCGTGCAACAGAGGGTAGTGGTCAACGACAAACCGAAGCTGAGCCCGACAACGACCACGACCACGACCACAACAGTTCCTGAGACCCGGTCGAAAGATTTGTGGAATTTTGGTGGGTTCGTTAACGGTTCCTCTTTCGAATCTAACGCGACCACCGAGCGTTTCGAGAGACTGGCCATGTAAACGATAATTAAAATATTATTATGCGAACACAATAGATGCGTGGTGCATGTGTACATATTTATAGTCGATCTGCATATCTATCTTTTTTCGAATGACTTCCGCGGTTATCATCTTGGAACTCGATGCCGAACTATGCCTTACGCGAAATCCTAAAGTATGTCTCTCTCGCTTTATTTCTATCTCTACCTCTATCTATCTTATCTTATCCTCCTATCTTATTCTTCTTTCTTTCTTTACTGCAGTTAGACTTTTCTTGTCGAAACGTAACACCTTTCCTATGTAAAAGCGACACCATTTCTAAGATAAGAGAAAAGACTCGTTCCTTCGTTAACGACGCGCCATTCCCAAGATATTGCAATTGATTTAAATCATCTTCCTCGCGTTTATGCGTTATATTGATTAATGCTATATAATTATTTAACTAAGCATTTAATACTCTTACTTATTATGTAGCCTCGTAAAAGTCCGTTAAATAACATCCTTCCGAGTTATATCCTGATTCATAAATTTACAGATAACACGACGAACAAGGAAAAGGACCTCCCAAAAAATAATCATTTTCGAGTCGGTCATCTTTTTCTATTACATTTCGTAAATCAAAATCTTGATAACTTAGCAGATATGAAATCAATCAAACGAAAAGAATGTCGTCGGCATATCGAGAATATTTCTCCTAGATGGACGAAAATAAGAGAATAGGAGAGGAGAGGAGAGGAGAGAGAGAGAGAGAGAGAGAGAGAGAGAGAGAGAGAGAGAAATCGTCGTTCGGATATATGTCATAGATATCCTCGATGTATTTTTCAAAGCTAGTAAATTAGTCGCTTTGTGAAAGAACAGTTAATCAGAATTTCTCAAACGCTACTGTAGTAGAACTGCTGAGAATTAAACTTTGAAACGAAAATAAAAAAAGACAAAAAAAAAAATAGAAAAAGAGAGATAGAGAGAGAGAGAGAGAGAGAGAAATATAAAAAGAAAAAGAAGACGAAAGAAAGAGAAAACGCGTTTGAACGCCTAAAATTCCTAGATCCTCCGATCGTCTTCTAGATCTTTCAAACATGAGTCGTAAAAACGAATTGTTCGATCTAAAAATAGGATATTTATTAAAGACTTATTTATTGTAAAACAACTGCATAAATAATACTGTTATACCATCATCGATCATGCTTCCACAAGTATTTTACATTTCATCATCCTCTCTCTTATCCATGTTAACGGTGGATCGCAGTGTTACAGTGTTGCATCCAAACAACAATTCATTGCGTCTGATTGCTATGACAAATATTCGTGAAAAAGAATAAAAATAACAACGAAATATATATATATATATATATACTATATATTTGTCGCCTAAGCACGCTGTGTGTGTCCGTCATGGTTCCTTCCAATTAGTATTAAACACATAATCGCTTAACTATTTAATTTTAGTTTATTAATTTTTAATAATAAATAATAATAAAATAAAATATAATAATAATAATAATAATAATAATAATAAAATACAATTCGTCTTTTTACTCTCCCTTTGACGGGGTTCGAGGCACTTCTCTATAAACACCTTCTTCTCATTGTAGTTATTCGATACTACCCAGAGAGGTCGCGTAATAAACAAAAATATCATTATAATTATAATATTAATTAGAAATAATAATAATAATAATAATAATAATAATAATAAAAATATCTCTCGTACAAAATTTAAGCCCAAAAATGAAATTTCTTGTAATAGTTCATTGAAATCGTTATATTAATCGAAAGACTCTTCTTCTTCTTCTTTTTTTTTATCTACATGTATTATTTATCACGTTTCTGATTGGCTAGAACAAGAGGAACGAGTGGACTTAATTACATTGACATGATCTCTCTCCCTTTCTTTCATTCGCTTCCAGGAACTTTGATGAAAATTGGGTCACTTTTGTACAAATTAACAACATTATTCATTTTACGAAATACGTGTACAAGTGTGAGTAAATTAATTACATTGCACGAATTCCACATGATTCGAATAAATGAGACAGAGGAAAAGAGAGAGGGAGAGAGAGAGAGAGAGAGAGAGAGAGAGAGAGAGAGAAGAGAAAACAAAATGTCGACCAGTATTACTGATATTCCTCCATTTTGAAAAAAGAGAAAAATATAATACGATATAGATATAAATATAATTCTTTTCAATTGTCATCAATCAATCAATCATCGTCATCGTTATCGTTATCGTCATCGTCATCATCGTCGTCGTCATCATCATCGATGCACATTACATTGATTTCAATTGAAAAATGAAGAGGAATAATTTTTCATTCAAATTAACGACACACACACACACACACACACACACACACATAAATCAGCATTTAAAAAATAATCTCTTTGATATCCTAGTATCTTTTCTTTTTTAAGTTAGGGTAACCCAACCGGGTTATGGCGTTTCACACTGCCACTTGTATAATAATAATGATATTAATTATAATAATAATAATAATTGTAATAATGATAACATTTGCTGTATTTTATTTTTCATAGACTGAAATCTCTATGTAAGAAAATGGCAAACAATTATAAAAATATAAAGAAATATTATAAATAAAAAAGGAAAGAGAGAGAGAGAGAGAGAGAGAGAGAGAGAGAGAGAGAGAAAGAGAGAAGGAAAGGAGGAAGAAAAATAGTCAGTGACAATGATTGACCGAGAGATCGCTATTTTTTTAGGAACAACCATAAATCGTTAATTCATTCTTACCATACATTTCTCTCCGATTATTAATAAAAAGAACAAAAGTTATTTTCGATGATATTATTTATACGATGTACAGGGTGTCCCACTAGCTTTTACTTTACCGAAAAAGGAGAAAGCTAAGCATTTGGTTTTCCGATACAATCGAATATGATATTTCGATAATGTGACTTATGGAACACCGCGTATAAATCTTCCATATACAAATCAATGAATTCTTCTTCTTCTTTTCCTCTTCCGCCGGGAAAATATACGCTTTCCTATCGTTACGCTTAGAATCGAAGGATTGGAAGGAGGAAGGAAGAGATCAAATGGAAAACAAAAAGAGAGAGAGAGAGAGAGAGAGACGATAATATTAATTAAATATCGTGAAACAATGGGTAGAGTTACCTCGCACGCAGAATCTTTCTAGCTTCTCTCGCTCCTATTCGCGATCAAATAAACTATAAACTAAAATTAAAATAAATTAAATTAAATTAAATTAAATTAAATTAAATTAAATTAAATTAAATTAAAATAAAAAGCCTCACCATATCGAAGCCATATAATTTTTCAAAGTAATAAACGAGATATTATTGATTTCGATTAAACGAAGCGACTCATCTTTTTCTGATTTATTTCATTATTTGTCCTAGCCCCCCCCCCCCAACCCTAATATATTACTCGTTAATTATATTTTTCTTCTTTCCTTCCTCCCTTCCTTCCTTCCTTCCTTTCTTTCTTTCTTTCTTTCGGCTAGTCAGTTCAAAACTCAAATTACTTTTGTTTCATTTTCGAACGGCAATAGGTAAGGGAACATTCCTATTCTCGTATCGTTTAAGATGATTAATTAATAATATTCTTCCGTTGTGCGTCGTAGAAAACGTCAAACGCGAAAAACTAATTTACATTTTGATACAACGATTGCACTTGCCTGGCATACGTGGTCCTTTTTATTGGGCATGAGACAACTTACCTAACAGCTTTTCTATCGATATTATCAAGGAAGCACGTGCAAACAGATCAAACCGAGGCTGGGTGCTGCATGCTAACTCTTAAAGCAAGAGCAACATTATACGATATGGTTGATGCTAATGTAACTGTCACTCAAGTATTTTATACTTGAGAGCATATTTGTATTTACATCGCGATGTATATTCGCCGCAACATTTCAAAGTATATATACACACAACACGTCTCGTTACTCTTCTTTTTCTTTTCATTTCTTTTCCAAGTATTTATGCTACCTTCCGATATCAAATCGAAACATCTCCGACACTTTATCGCAATAAATGTCGATTAACACAGTTACCTACTTGACAAATAAATCCTTATTATTTTATTTTCAATTAATAAAACAACAACAAAATGTTCCTTTTGTATTTTTCGATTCAACATTTGTGTATTTATTCAAAAATCATCGCGCTTTTTATTAGTTTATCTTAAGTTCTGAAGATGGCGTGAATGCTCGTTATATTTTAAAAAAAAAAACTTTTTTACCGATAGAGCAAAACAATAATTACCATCCGAGTTGATTACATAGGAATTGTCTTTACCGACGGTCGTTCATACAGTTCGAGTACATAGTTTCTGTTATACTATAATAACGTATAATCATTTAATTCACGTTCGAGGAAACGTTTTAAGACGTCACAATCTGTTTAAACAATTTATCCTAACAAATTGACTTGTATTAAAACGAAAATTATCTAGACAACACATGTGATCGAATAGCACCTTAGTATAACAATAGACTTCATTTAATATCATCTTGTTGACAATGCCCAAAACAAACGTGTTCAGCAGTTTCATAATTGATATAACTCAAACGAATAATTACGAATAATTAATTATAGACAAGATTTTAAGTAAAATTTTGTTTCTAGTACTTAACAATTATGGCAAGATATTCGAGTGATTCAGATTCAGATTATAGCAACAGATACAAAAGAAAACACAGCAGAAAATCTAGGTTTGTTACTATTATATCAAATTATATAATAATATATAAATAAATACACAAACTATATATTCAAGATATTAGATTGATATAAAATAATGAATAATTATTATCAATTTTATACTTTAGATCCACCAGTTCGGATACAAGCGAATCATCTCCGTATCGTAAGAGATCATCTAAACATTCAAAATCAAAACGGAGACATCGTTCGCACTCCAGAAGTAGAGGCAGAGATAGAAGCTCCAAGAGTTACAAGAGTGCCAGAAGCAATTCGGGTGATAGAGATAAGCGTCGCTATCGTTCACGTACACGTAGATCCCATTCTTCTGATCGTAGCAAAAGAAAAATGAGATCTAATTCTAGAGATAAATCTAGAAGTCGTTCCAGCAGTTCGCAGTCTACCGTTAAACCTATTATTGACAAATCTAATAATCCCATTACCAAAGGTATCATTTTAGTTGTCTCATTGAGACAACTGGATTTATGATCTCATATCGTGTTGATAAAAGAAATATTCTAAAGATTCAACATATTAACACTTATCTTCTACAAATATCTCTTTCTATCTCTCTTTCTCTCTATTTAGATGACTTTTTAATTGAACCACGTATCAAGGAAAGCGTATTAGAAGAAATTAATTCTGAAGGATTTATGCCTAAACAATTTACTTCTTCATCTTCTCATACGAAAGAAAGCAAATTTAAAAACATTGTCATCGATATTAGCGCTGATACTATTCAAATTCCAACTGTAACAGATATAAGCACTATACCAGAAAGTATATTTCATCCTTCGGTAAGAAAATATAATATTATTCTACACAGTCCATTGATATAAATGATGTTATTTATAAATTATTATTTTATTTTTAATTTCTTTTTACTTTCAGATTATGCACGATCAAGAAGCTCGCTTTGATAAATGGGTTAAAAAACTTTATACGCTTAGGCAAAAAGCATTAGTCGATATGACACATTCTAATTCTACTTGATATCTATGAAATTTAAAAATTTTATATTTTATATCTTGTAAATAAATCAAAGTGTCGTTTTCATCATATTACAGTGATATATATCAATTATCTGCATTGCACATTTTGTAATAATGACTTTTCTTATTTTATTAAAAGTCTTTTCTCTCTTTGCGATTAAAAGTTTGTCTTAACTTACAATTATAATTTTTTATTATGCGTCCAATTATCTAATATAAATTAACATTTATATTGAAAATCTATAGGTTTCCTTATTTCTCCTCATAGAATATATTGCTAAAATTGAGCAAAACACAACTGGGACACCCTGTATGTATACTTTTTATTTTTGTATGATCTTACAATATATATTTTGCATACAATTTTACAAATTTTATATACTTATTATCGAATAATATAACTAATAACAATAAAATATATAACTTAACAACGCATTGAAATGATATAATAATATAGAAGAACTTTACGTATATAATGTACATTATATATATATATATAATAATAATATTTCAAATCCTAGAGAGAATTTATCTTCAAAAAATTTAAATGCGTATAATATATATTTGGAAGATAAAGTTTCTAAGCCTGACAGATTTTAAACAATTATATTTCACATACAATTTTAGATTTGAAAATGAACATTTTATAATAAAAAACTAAAATACTGCAATCGTGTTATCTCATATTTTTTCCATCTAATTCTACAAATGATTAATATATAATATACACTATCTTACTACCACATGCAGTAAGATATATACGTTCTCATAAAGTAAGTTTCTAAATATTTCATTCTCTCTTTCTTTCTTTATTATTTTCAGCAACTTTTTATTTAGAGCTAACGTTGCATATCAAAGCCGTTGTGTTGCTTTTAAAAATGATCATCATCGTTCATGATTTTCTAAATATTCTTTACTATGTATAGAAACATTTTTTCCTTAATCATATTATATATATATATATTCACATGATATTTATAATTGAAAGCTTCTTTCATCGTAATTTAATGATGGGAGGATGCTAGAAGTTTCATTNTATATATATATATATATATATATGTATAGCCAAACAGTTTTAGATATGTAACTTAAATATCAAAGATACACACGTATTTCTACTATATATACCAGAATATTAAATGCACGGAATGCAATACGTTCATTTTTCTACATTTTTTATTTGGATTTTCATTTGTTTTTTTGTTTATATATATATTTTTCATTTTTAATGTAAGTTTTTCTGCTAATAATAGAAGAAATGTAGAATTTAAATTATAGCGATTGAAATTTGATCTAATAAAAATTCAGTATCGCTTGAAAACAGTCCTATAAATAAAACAAAAACAAACAGAACAGTAAGTAATATATTCGATGTAAAAGTTTGTTTTTTCTAATCCAAAGAAATGAATTATCGATTGGACTCTGTTATTTTATTTACCTCACGTTGTAAAGCAATTTCAATGAAGAAAAATTTATCCCTTCTATCCGATCGTCGTCAAATTTGATATGTATTTATCTAAAATAAGAGAATGCAGTTTGTGTTTCTTTGATATACGAAAAGATATTATATATGTAATCATTGTTTATATAATCTTTTTTTAATAAGAAGAGAAAATGTAATAATACGCGCGATAATGTAATATAATAATATCCCTATTATCTGATATTTAATTAAAATATATAATAGACACATCCTTCTTACAAGATTTAATTAATAACTTAATCACATTGTATAGAGAGAGAGAGAGAGAGAGAGAGAGAGAGAGAGAGAGAGAGAGAGAGAAAGAGAGAGAGAGAGAAACGTAGTATAAATGAAATATTTATTATTCTTAACGATTCCAATGAAAATCCAATTAATAATATAATCGTTAAATATATTAAATAAAGAAGCTTATAAAAAGAATGTAGCCTATTTATTTTGTTCGAATTCTATTGCACATCTAAGATTAACCGGTTATTGCACAATGTTTAATCACTCGCATTAGATATTAATGCGAATATATATAATAAATGATGACAACTGCTATCCAGGATTAAGTAGATAAATGTTGTGGAAAGACATAATGGTGTTGAAAAGTAGACTTACATCTGAAAATTATTAATATATCGTTTGATTTATATTTGAATGAATAAATTACAAGTAACGTAAAGCAAAATTATTCAAAGCTAGGAGTTGTACAATAAAAATTATATCGATAAAAGAAATCGCTATAGTCACCTATGTTTTCTGGGTATTACGTAACCTGTTATTTTTCTCATTGTTTTTTTTCTTTTTTTTTTTTTTTTACATCAATCTACTGAATCTTAATTGCCTAAAAAATGTAAATTCCTTCTTTTTACTTATGGAATTCGTTCAAATTCAAAATATCAATTTCTACGATATCTTTCCCAGCAAATTGTGCAAAAATACCGCTCGATGCGCTCCTCTTAACAACTGAAATTTATGAATATTTAGCTGTATCACACAAATTGTTATATCAGATAATAAATTTGATTCATTCAAAGTCTGTATCCACTCTCACCAGTAGGATTAACTTTTCTCAGCATATACGTTGGCAAATCTTGGCATTCACGAGCAATGTATGTTCCGACAGTAGACATATCAGTAATAGGCGGAATAACAACTTTCATAGTTTCACGTACAATATCTGTATCCACTTCGTAGTAACCTAATAAATAGAAAAAATAGTTAAATAATAGAATTTTCCAAAATTCTAATAGTAGAGTTAATCGCTTCGAACTTGTCAACAGCTCATATGATCTTGTAATACAATCGTATTACCATTAAACATTTTTCTAAGAAGATCATAAAGATTATGCGGTGGCAAAACTCGTTGACGATTCAACGGCATAACGAAACAACATTGACCATCGATATCTATAATTCCGGTTTTATTCTGAAAATAAATACTATGAGAAAAGAAATGAATTATATTTAGAAGAAGAAAAAACAGAGAGAGAGAGAATTAGTAGATTTCTTACAATGTTAAAATCATGTATAAAACGTCCTTGACGACCGCCACGAAAATCTGGCACATCAATCTTTTCGTAATGTTCATTTTCAAGATCAATTTCAAAACGTTCCTTAATAAAACTCTTATTATTGTCTACATTATTTTCAAGATCCATTTCCTCTGGTTCAGGACCTCTAGCAAAATTCTTGAACAAATTAGAATCAGCGATGATAGCCTGATGCATACTATCACCGCTGTACGGCGTTTTATCATAGGGAATGCTATACCATCCAGTACGGAATCTATGTATTTGTGCTCTGGCATATTGTATGTATATATAAAGACCCCCTATTACACCGATTATTAATATCATCAATGCAATAAGGAACAATGAGAACGTAGCAGTCACATGAATTCTATGGATATTTCTGCGCGCAACAAAGTAATGTCTACCAACGTTAGGTTTTTGGGTTTGTGCTTCCAAATCGGTTTTTGAAGAATCCTGTATATAATCAAAAATACATGTATTATTTTACTAAGTATAATTAATTAGTATCAAATACAAATATATACGTGTTTAACTGCAATAATACATGTATACATATTTTAAGATAAGACTTTTATCAATTGTGATGATAATAATAATGTATGTACATTATTATATATATATATATATACTATTTATATATGCATGCATACATATATATATATATATATATATATATGCATTAAAAAAAAAATTCGATTGAATTATTTAAGATAATTTAAAATAATATGGGATATAGAAGAAGAAAAAAAGAAAAGAAAAAAAGAGAGGAAAAATAAATAAAATGAATCAAAATGAATTGTAGTCATGCAAACGATATTGTTATCGAATGTCAACGATAAACGTGCTAACCGCAGCAGTTTCTTCTACAAACAATGGCTGCTCCTTTTTGTCCGACGCCTTCTTCTCACTGATAGCTTTCGTGATGATAGTCATGTTTCTATTCCCTTTTTATTATCTCGTTACTTTCGTAAATTATTAAGATTAAATCTTAGATAAAATTTACGTCGTCATGTGCCAAACGCAACGATCAATGTCACTAAATGCACCAATTTTTCAATTCGAATAACGATTATACAAAGGGGTACACGTACAAGCCGAAGAGCCAAACGAAGTCCTTCAACTAGCAGCAAACTGCGCACATGCAAACATCCGAGCAGTTCTCTTCTCGAGATTGATCGGTGACAACCGCGCCTCCATTCGATTAATCCTAGTTTTACGCATGCGTTAAAATAAAATCTCCAACTCCAAGAATAATTTTCGATATTTCGTTGAAATACAAATCTATCTAACGGTATTGTTATTTCAATCGAAATTATATTTCATGAGTAGTGATTATATTAATTTATACTTTGAAATCATTTTCTTATTGATATGGCGAATGACGTTGTTTGAATAGTGCGATTTGAAAATTCCCGCATTTTTCGTTGTATCAAATATATCGATTCGACCCAACTTACCGACGGTACAGTCGATATATTATCCGTTGATAAATTTGATACCATGTGTGTTGCATGTATCATACAAAAGATCCATATGTGTTAGTTAGAGTCAAAWATATTAAAATTTTCGTAATATTACATTTTGAAGCTTAAATAACGTTCGGTATATATTGCAGTAATTTCTTTTTTCTTGTTTCGTATTTAATTCAATTGAATTCAATTGAATATTGTTACTTTGAAAATCAACCTTAATTATGTCCCCTCCAGGTGTACCAACTTTACTTTCATGTTTCTTTTAAGTGCGCTTGCGCCTTGAATTTGTGGTTCTGCATAAATATTATTTTCAACTAATTAACGATAAATAAAAAATATCTAATAAAATATAGTTGAGGAGCCGGAGAAACAAAAAATGAGCAGTTGATTGAAAACAAAAAACAATAGAAAATTTCGTTGCTTTGCTTAGAAATGAGCAAAATGATGATTTTTGTATTTTCAATTATTAATAACTAATTAAATAATTAATTAATAAAGTGTGCAATTATAGATTTTAAATGTGCAGTTAGTGAACAATTAAGAGTACTTATTAATTTTTGTCTGCTGTTGAGGTTCTATGCCAACTTTTCTGTGCTTGCATGTGTGCATATGTGCATTATTCTGCCATCTTCAGTAAGTGCATCGAATCGATTATTATAACCGTTTTTTATGCCCTATTCAAAATTCTTGAAATAGGTATAATCGATTTTGAAGCGGTAAGGCAGTGGTCTTTTGTGCGTATCTTTCATTAATTACACCTTCCCTTTTGATAAAGATATTCTTATTTTGAAAAGAAAACATGGAGTCTGCCATCGTACATCTTGAACAAAGCGTAAGTTTAATCTTTAATAAAATGTTTAAATTTATAACTTATCCTTACGTAAATGTCAAAGTTTAATATTATTTTTCATTCATAACTTTAGGTTCAAAAGGCTGATGGAAAATTAGATATGATTGCTTGGCAAATAGATGCTTTTGAGAAAGAATTTGAAGATCCAGATAACGAGGTATTTTATTCTACAAAACTTTGAATAATATTCTCCTCAATGGGTTATGAGTTATTTAAATTATTTTAATTTTTAACAGATATCAGTAGTTCGCTTGTTACGCTCTGTCCATCAAGTTACTAAAGATTATCAAAACCTTCGCCAAGAAATTTCAGAGGTTCAACAGTTGCAAAAACAACTTTCCGATTCGCTTAAGGCTCAACTAACTCAAGTGCACGGTAATTTCAATTTACTTCGTAATAAATTAGTAGGACAAAAGACGCCTCAGTTAAAATAAGAAAGAAACATTCTTAAACAATTATTGTTTATTTATTATTTCTATTAGATTCTATGTTATGCATTTTTCAAGTTGTCTTACTTAACATAGGATTGAATTTCAGAATTTCTTATATTCGTTCATATATTACAGCTTTGTAATATATAAAGTATTATTATATCAATGAGTAATCCATTCGTTGAAAAATCTAAGTCAACATATTCATGATTAGAAGAATAAAAGTGACATGAATTACTTTTATTTGTGTTAAATCCAAACGTTACATTTCTTATCATTTTCAATTTGTCTATCTACATATCACTTTTATTCTCAACGTTTCCTATAATGAATAATGAAAATACGAAATATAAAAAAATATAGAAATTTCTTAATCTAACAAGTCGAACAAACTTCTTTTTGAATCTTCTACTTAAATCTCAATAATTGTTTTACGAATAAGATGGGATCAAGTGTTTTACTGACAAATAAATGATGAAATATGTGTCATAAATTAATGGCACCGGGGCCAATCTATATGCTCGCGCATTCAACTTTGAAAGGTCTTTAATAAAATATTAATCATAATTCTCATTTCTTTTGACATAATAAATATGTTAACAATTACTAGTATGTCAAAAAAAAAAAAAAATAACATATTACTTTCTATGCATAAAACGAAGAAGAACACCCTATGTATTTATATTTCTCAAGAACTTATAAGAAATGCACTGATTAAATATTCACTTTGATAACACCATTCTATACTATCTTTATCTAGATAATATTAACTAAACTATAGATTATTCATTATATTCAATAATACTTCCTCTTTCAATTCCTTAAGAAATGTGCATTGAGAATGAGTTTGAAACAATAGGATAAAAGTACGACTCGCAACGAGAAAAGAAAAAAATAAGAGAGTTTTTGTACTAAATCGTGAGAGAAATAACATTGCCTTACCAACATAGTTGCGCATTTATCCAAGTACGTGTACTATGTTATATAACGTGAAATCTGTATTATTATATACACTATGTATGTACACTATATTTATTGTATAAGGTATATACGCATGTTATTTATTGATATAATCAATATGATGATACAGTACTTTTTAGTATTCCATCGTTAGATTATATATTATATCCTAGAGAAAATGTTTTCAATCGAGATTTATTATATATTTCATTATTATTGTTACTATCATTATTGCAAACTATTTTCTTTAATTAGAAATTGAATTAAATCAATTAAAAAATATCCTTTCTAATTAAAGTAACAACGTCTTAATAAATCTACTTCGTACTTTATGTGAAAACTCCTATAAGTCAATATAAATATCAATATATTCATTAATTTTGGAAATTAGAAATTGATAATACTTAGAATCTATGAAATCTTGACGATTGTTTTATATCACACAATTAGAATGATAAAAATACTTATTGTTACTGCAAAGTAGAATAAAAAAAAAAACAAAAGACTATAAAATCAATTTTTCTATTAACTTTTTAAGCACTGCACAACACCACTATAGTAACTTTCGTAGATATCATCCTTTTGAAGTATGAATCGCTATAGTCGTTTTCATGGATATTGGCATAGAGAAGAACATTAGAGAACATAGAGATACATTGTTATAGAAAGTCCCGCAGTAACTAAAAGGTTAATATTATCAACCATGAAAAATTGAAATTAATCATTGTAACATTATTCAATTACCGTATATAAATTAAGAGAAAAATGGTCTGGAACACATTTATAACGTGCCAAAACTTTGGTCAATTAGTAAAGTAATTTTTCCTTTACAAAGAATAGATGCATAAATCTAATTCTATTCTTTGTCATAGATAGGCAATAGAACATATCATATTCAAGACTTATTCTATGTAATTAAATATTGTAAGTATATTATATTAATACGCCTGGTATTCTAAAGCAAACGCATCAATTTTTACTTTATCGAAGGATTGCATCTTATTATCCTTCCTATGATATATTCAACGCAAATACCACAATAATTAGCCATTGGTGGTATTCTTCTTTTCTCGACCAATAATATGTGGTCAGTGCATAATCAAATATATATGCTTCTTATGCATCGTCCTTCAATAATTATTTATACTCTTACAACTGTTAATATTGTTAGAATATTTCGCTGCATGTTTTATATTTAACTGTAACTTGTTATTATCTATATAATGCGATATTTATTTATATATGTTCTTATATATATATACAAGCAAAGCTTATAATAACATTTATCCATTTTGGATTATTCAGTCTACGATATATTAAATAATGAAATGACGACGTATTAAACATTTTTAGTTTTATGCTTAAATTTTATCGTTTCTATAAAATTAATCGATTCAATTAATTTCTATTTGTATACTATTTCTTAATGTTTATAATTCAATAAGAATCATATTTGTGTGATTAAATGTACAAATATTAAGTTATTCTATTTATACGATTATTGATTATTGTAATGTACGCGCGCGCGCGCGATTGTTCACAAATTTATATATATATATATATATATATAAATATATATATACACAAATCCTCAATACAACAACAACAAAACCTGTATCTTTTTAGATATTTATTATATATTCATATTATAAAATAAATTGTTATCTCTCCGTAGTGAAACGAACCTGCGTATTCAATGCTTGTAAAATTATCCCGAACATGAATATGCAAAATATAATAAGCGTATGTATTCGCGCCTGTTATAAATTATTGAAAATTTACGTAGATATATAAAGTAAACGTCTCCCTCGTTAATGTTAGATCCAGTAAAAAACCGGTTGGAATGTCCGTGAATAGAAGTATGAACTTTAAACGCGTTCGAGGTCACGGAACTTTCTTTAGACTTTTACCATAAAACATTTCTTTCGTTTCGAAAACAATTTGTACAATTTTTAATTATAAATGAAATCAAATAAATATTCTTGTACACTTTACGAATTAAATGCGATTCTCGTACATCTTATTATCATCGTGTAAAAGCGATCATCATCCGGTTGATGATTCACTCCGGTTGAATTTGTCTCTGGAGGAGACAGACACAAGTAAAAATATCATTCCAAAATATATGATTATACGTACATATATTTTTGTATCCTATGGAATACAAATGTTTCCATGCGATTGAAAGTTGAGAATTTTCGTTCGTTTAAAATGCATGAATGCATTCGGTATCGATTGGAAAGAAGAATCGCACGAATAACTTTAGTTAATATAGCCTAATTTATTATTTATTCATTCTTTTTTTTTTTTTCTTTTTTTTTTTTTTTTCTTTTTTTCATCGTTCTAACAATTTTCTCCCTGAGTGAGTTATCGCGAAACGTTGAAGCAAACGGAGAAAGCAAGGAAGTTCTTAGTTAACAGACTGAGACCAGAATCTCTTTAAATCTATTATCGATGAAATCAAGCGAACGTTCATCCGTTAAAGATGTTAAACGAATGCCAATCAGAAAGCGTAAGCGTTTTAGAACACCATTTCCATTTCGTTCCGACAATTTTACACCTCAGCCGTCATAACAACCGGGGCTACTTTCCGCATAATTTCCCGTTCACCGTTATGGGAAAGAGTATATAATCGTTTGAAAATATATTCTCTAAAGCAAAAATAATATCTCTATTTAGATGTTCCTTTTCTATGAGGTAACAATAACTACTGAATATTGTTCACTATGCATTATTATTTGTCTTCCAGAAAGAGATACGTAACGCAAGCTTATTATGAAATGTATTCCTTCACCTTGCATTCAAGATTGCATTCAAGATCGCATTCAAGATCGCATTGAAAATCTACATACCGAGTGTTAGACTGTGAATGATTTTATCTAAATATTCTATTGGTCTTATGAAAAAATACTTGTACGCAAGATGTTTAGAGGTAATTGATAATTAGGTTGTCTACGCTCTTAGGAAAAAAGGATTTTCGGTCGCGACATAGAAGCGCAACTCGTCGTATTTGCAAGCATCGATGTCTCCGTGTGGAACGTGCTTCGTGGTGTGATACCACCGAGTATGCCACGAATACGAGCGAACGCCTCGTTCTAATGACCTACTCTTAATGTGCCGCAGCTCGAAAGAGAGTTCGAATAGCAAACTTTGAAGTTCAGTCATCGACCGACCGACCGACCGGTTTCCTGTTTCGTTTCGAGTGGGATCTCAGTGGCTCTGATTCACCGTTCGCCGATGCGAGGAGGAGGACAGTGTCGCGAGAAAACAGGGCCCTCGATTCTATCATACAGACGGTACGTTCTCCTCTATCTATCTTTTTTCTATTTAAACAGTGATTCAATATCTTTCATGTGTCCAGTGTATTAGTGATCCAGTGGAATATTTACTAACTTTTAAATAAATCCAGAATCACTGGAATACTTCATCTTTCAAAGTGAAGATTCATGTAATTTTTCGAATACTTATTGAAATCAAATTCTTATGGAATAACCATATCTGTAAATAATACAACAGTGTGTACCTTGAATTAAATAAATGTGCTATCTTATATTGAACATTTTATATCATTTGGTAAGAACAACGCAAACAAATATTACTATCATGACGAAGATAGTAGAATTCTTAAAACTTTAACAAAATTTCATTTGCGCATAAGAGAACAAAAAATGCATTCGATATTAAATATTTGTTTAATAAGCAATATATTTTCTAACAATGTTTTACTTCGTTACCAAGCACTTTTACTTTTTCTCATTGTTCAAGATAAACTGATATATACATATATACAGACGTATGTACACTGTTCATACGATAACCGGTCTCTGCACAATTCTCCGTTCATTCTTTTTATAACTAACTCGCTGCCTATAACATCGAAAGTTATAATAAGAAAATTAAATAGAAAAATAAATCTACTTATAGTTAAGCTTGTCAATCGGTATGTTTCTTTTTTTTATAGAGGCCACTTCTCATTTAAAAGATGCGCTTCGTGATTTTTGCATTGATTTGTCTTGTTGCGTTACTCGTCAAACGAGTATCATCTCATGGAAGACTGATAGAACCACCTTCAAGAGCATCTATGTGGAGATATGGTTTCGACACTCCGCATGATTATAATGATCACGAATGCTATTGCGGTGGTTTCACTAGACAGTGGCAACGAAATAAAGGAAAATGTGGAATTTGCGGAGACCCTTGGGATTCCACTACCGTACGTTTTTATTCTGCATTTTCTCATTTTATTTTTTTTTTTTTTTTTTCCGAACAAATTGTTGTGATGGAATAATCGTGCGCGACAAAAATACATTTCTACAATTTCTGCACTAATAAAATGATTACGATGGTCCCATTCATTATAAAACGAATCAAAAATATTGTTAATTTTCTTTTTGATTATTTTGATCACAGCCACGTTTGCACGAAACTGGTGGGAAGTATGGGAACGGGGTGATCGTTCGAAGATATCGAACTGGTTCCGTTATACCGGTTCGCGTCGAGTTAACAGCAAATCATTATGGCTATTTTGAATTTCGCACGTGTCCGATGATTTACCGTGACAAGGAAGTCACTCAGGAATGTTTGGACAAATATCTTCTAGTTGGAAAAAATGGAACTGCAAAATATTATCCAGGCCCTGGTAACAAGGTCTTCGAAGGATTTTATAAATTACCCGAAGGATTGACTTGTAGACAATGCGTTTTTCAATGGAGATATATAGCTGGCAATAATTGGGGCGATTGCGGAAATGGGACAGGTATTATTTTAGTAAAATTACAAAATAATAAATACAAACATTCCCAATTGAATAAATCTAGCAATAACGAGATATGTAAATACTTTCTATATTAATATGTATCATTACCATCTATAATTGTTTAGCATAATTATTAAGAGTTGATTTTGAAATATCATTATAGAAAGTAGAATAACAATTGGATAGTTTTATTCGTTACGACATTTTTGCATATTACTGTTATTTCAGCAATACTCATTAAACTTCTTAGCACGTATAATTGCATGACGAGATTGCAAGAAATAACAAAAAGACAATTTATCGTATCTCTATGCGCGTGTTTGTTCGTTAGGAGCTGTAGGATGTGGACCACAAGAAGAATTTCGTGCATGTGCTGATATCGCTATTGGTGACAATGAAACTGTATCATTACCAGATCTTCCAAAAGTGCCAACAGAAAGTATACCTACGGACATATCATCAACTATGGAACCAACTTCTATACCAATATCGGCACCTTCTTGGTTGTTCAGTATTATCATCGCTGGTACGTGTCTTTTGGTGGTGCTGGCTGCTATGGCACTGCTTTACACGTACTATTACCACGCTGGTAGAGCCAAAAAATGGCTTTTGCAAAGAAGACTTCTGACGCCAGACAGAAATCCACCCGTGGCTCCACCAAGACACAAGAAATGTCACATATCTAATGCACAATTGCAAATGTAATATGCAACGGTAATTCATTTCAAGAAAAATATGAAAATTTATCCAAATATTTTTCTACTTCAAAAATTATACGCACTGCAATTATTTCATTCCTGTTCATTATTAAATTCGTTTAGAATTGTATTTAAGTCATTTTTTGTAAGCACTTTCGTGTGCGTGTAAGTGTGCGTGATTGAACGATCGTTGCATGAATATTTTAGCGTTGAAAATAATTTACAAATGTTTCCTACGTATTTTCATGATGTATATATTACACATTATTCATTTATACGTTGAAGATATTTATTGTATTTCGTGGTCGACTATCATAATGTATTTCTTTTCTTTATACTCTGTTATTATTATTATCGTCTTTTTATCAAAATTCTATATTCATAATATATAATTTGCTTTATACAATTATACAATATATATATATACTTTCTCAGATATAGGGAAGGATACTACGTGATACGGAGCACTGGAATCATTAAAAATAATGTTTTATATAATACGATAGATTATTTTTTATTTAACAACATATTACGAAAATCTTGATTACTTTTCGGCTGGGGTACTCCGTTCTTAGATAAATTCTTATTAGTACTATTAGTATTATTACTATTAATTATAACATTACGCGGTACCATAGATAACAAGGTTTTTGGTAACCCAAACGTTGTTCTACTTACTGTACTACTACCCAACGATTTACCATGAAAAACTTCTTCTTTCTTACGTTCAGGTGGTTGACTAATAGCTACGTTTATTTCTTTCGTATCAATTTTCATACCGTCCGTAGCAAGAAGAGCTTTAGCAGCATCAGCTTCGTTTAAGTATTCAACGTATGCCAATCCTTTGGAATGTCCATTGCGATAAGTAACTAAGCGAACGTCTTTTAATTTTCCGTAAATACTAAATATTTTGTCAAGATCCTCTGTCGTCGTCGTAACCGGAAGACCTACGAGATAATTATAATGTTATCATCATACATAATCAACGTCAAGCTTCATATATTATTATGCGTACCTTTGACAAAAAGTTTATTCTTTTCCAGTGTGCTATTGTATTTAAATCCTGAACCTCTCGTGCTTTTGTTAGGATCACATCTTGAAACAAACATGGGACGTCCATTTATGGGCGTTCTATCTAACGTCAATGCTTTTTCAACTGCCTCCTGTCAAAATGTATACTACTTCATGATTGTTCGACGATCGCGATAGATAGAAATTTTTCTATTCAGGATGGTAAAAGCAATTTTCCTATATGTACATTCAATATGTTACCAAAAAAACTCACTTATGATATCATAAATAATAAAAGTTAATTTATACATCGAAAGAATTAATATTTCAGGATTATTATATAAATACTACAAGTTCTTAAAATATTGGACACGTTTTTTTACCACCCTGTATATTTAATAAGAACGTCTATTAACGTACAGTATTGCTTAATTTAACGTAACAATAACCTTTGTTACGTCCCTTATAATCTTTAATCATTTTAACCAAAGTTATTGGTCCTGCCGGTTGTAAAGCTTCCCTAACTTCATCCTCGATTGCTGTGTAATCCAAATTACTAATGAATACGGTTAACTTATCATCTACTTCACGATTTGTATCGGCTTCTTCATTTTCAGATACTTTGAAGCCTGGTGGTGGTTGATCTTTTGACTTAACTTCTTCCATGCTGTAGATTTTGTCCAAGTTAAGACAACTTTCTTTTAATTTAAATTGATTTTTCTCTTCCACTTTTACTATTTTGCTTAGAGAAACTCCTAAATTCTTCCATTTGCTTATATCTTCAGCTTTCCTCCTAATTGCTTTCTTTGGTTGTACATATGATTCTTTTTTCAAACTAGCTTGCTTAGCTTTAGATTTTTCTTCCGTTAATTTGCCCAGTCTTTCTTTAATTTTCATTTCACAAAATTCCATTTGTTCGAGATTACCTTCGTCGCGTTCAAAATTCAACCAGGAATTAGCCACACTTTCAGGCCAATCTTTGACCGAAGTCAATGCTCTTTTATATAATTTTCTCAAATGTTTTGTGTCGCCGTAACACCTATATTTCAAATCAAAATCATATATACGGATCTCAAAACTTTGATGCAATCTTGTTTAAATAATTTATATCGATGTAAGCAAAAATTACCTTTCTAAAGAGATATATTCCAACCAATAAGAAGCAGTTCCCGAGTGGCCTAGCGAAAATATATCTGTCCAAAGAGATCTAGCCTTTTCCATATTATTGGCAGTTATAGCTTCTGTTCTTGCCCAATATTGTAAAATTATTCCATTAGGATCACCTTCCAAACCAAATATCTTAGCCAAGTGTTCGCATGCTCTGTTAAATGTATTACGAAGAATATCTATTTGTTTATCCTCTTCGTCTACATTTTCATCTATTTTACGACGCAAATATTCTAAATATTTCATCCAAAGATCACGATAATCATTTGCCTCTGAAAAACCCATAACGAAAGATTTTTCTAATAAGTTTTGAACGTCCGAAACAGGTCTCTCCCATTTCTCGTACGCTCTAATCCACTTTTGCCAAATAGTTGAACACCATGGAATATTTCTTGATGCCTTTTCATATACCTTGCTTAATACCAACTCTATCTTAATGTTATTCTCAAGATAATTAATATAATCTAGCCAAAGCGGCACTTCAAGACTGAGATCAGCAATTGCTCTCTCATATAAAACTGTAACACGACCTGGATCTCCGTTTGTTTTTTCATACGACAAATATTCTTTATAGGCATCAAGTAATTCGTTTTCTTTTCGGGAAGATACTACTTTTTCTTCATAAGGAAGACGATTATTTAGCTTTTCAAGAGCACATTCATATCCTGCGAGTACAATATTATCGTCTACAGTAGCTTGGGCACCATCTCCAGCTCTCCAAGTTTCATACTCTTCGTATGTTTTTTCCATATCTAGTAAAGGACATGCTAATTGGCGTCGGAAAAGATTTCCAATACGGTCCAGTTGTTCCTTCTTTTCAGTTACATTTGCGGGATCAATCTACTTGAAATAAAATTCAATAAATTTGACAGTAAAAACATTTCAACATAAATTAATTCATATTTCTTTAATTTACCAATGCAAATAATACTGCTTCAAATTCTCTAAATGCTTCCCATATTATAGCTCCTCTGATGACATGCAATCCGGCTGATGTTAATGCGGATTCAAAAAGTTGACGAACATTTTGAATTCCATCCTTTTTATTGTCCATATTTCCAATACTGAATTGTAAATATTCCAGCCAAACCTTGACACCTAATCAAATTTTCATACAAATAAGTTTTATGCCTTCTAATTATTATCAAATATAGATATCGTAACTACAACTTACAAAGATAATCTTTAACAGCTCTTTCGCAGATTTTCACAACTTCAGCCTTTTCTTCGCTACTTACAGCTAATTTAATTTCATCGCGTAACCATGATAGCCATAATTCTGGACTCAAAGGGTACATTGAACTCATGTTTTCTCTTGCAGTACGTAAACGTTCAAGTTCACCCATCATTTCAAACTTTTTAATCAACTTAATATGACTACTGTAATCGTAAGGATTTTCTGCCAGCAAAGCCTCCAATGCTTTAATTTCTGCTTCATCGGCATTATCATCATCGCCATCGCCCTCATTGACATCCATATGATCATCATTACTTTCTTTACCATCATCATCATCATCATCATCATCATCATCATCATCGTCATCGTCGTCGTCATCATCATCATCATCATCATTATCGCTATTCAAACTTTCTTCATTCTTTTTCTCATCTTTATTATCTACTTCTTGATCCTCTTCATTTTCTTGTTCTTCATTTTCTTGTTCTTCATTTTCTCTCAATTTTAACTCCTTTTTACTTACGATTAATGAACTCGTACTCGAAGAGCTTTCTTCGTCACTTTCACTTTTAAAATCCATTTCTTCTGTTTCTTCCATTTGTATTTATTATTAAGAAAAGATTTTTATGTATTGTGTTAAATTTGAATTTCTGCAATCAGAAAACCGCAATGATTCTTTTTCACTCAAAGGTTATATTTGTTTCTTTAGTTGTGTGACAATCACCGAGCAAGTTCTAATTGTACGGCGCATGACCAAAAAAAAGCGGGTACATTTAAATACTCTAATGCAATTGTAAAATTATTCTCTAAAATCTGATTCTTTGATATTTTAAAAGGAATCCTTCATTGAACTAAACATTTTCTAACAATATATAAATAATTTACTCATTATCCTTATTGACTATGTATATACATGGCATTTAATATGTTTCTCTCATTTCATCACTCTTTGATGATATCTTTATTCCTTTTCGACATTTTTTGTCCAATTTTTACAAATAACAGATTTTTTTTATAACTACATTGTTCCAATTAGCTTACAGTAAATACATTATTATTCGTTTAAAAGCGTAAATACTTATTTTAATTTTCCTTTTATATTACCCTTAAAATAGAACAAAGAATATTTTAGGTCACATTGGTTGACGACAGACTTAATAATGTATCAAAATTAGATATTATAATATTAATGCATTATCATTTTTGTTAAAAAATTAATATTACCATTCGATCTAGCGCGATATTGAGCACATGTCTTTATTCAAATGACAATTGAATGTACACGAAGATAGTAAAAATAATAGATCACAGCACTTTTCTTATTCGAATACATTATTAATTATGGCACATAAAACTAATAATTATAACATAATATTTTTAAAGATATTTAATTAAGCTCTTATTACCACGTATAAATTATTAAATGAAATACAATGTTGATTTATTATATATAATCTAATTTTATGAAAAAGTATTTTTATTGGAAGCACAAGGTTTCTAGAAAATTATTCAAATGTTTAGTCGCGTGTGTCATCTTTGTAATAAGATATTATATTTATTAAATAGTCCTTTATTTATTTAATGGCAAACTAATTGTAAGTAAAGAATCATATAATTCATAACGAAGTTAAACTCCTTTTGATATAGCGCTAATACATAGTATTACAAAATTTCCTATCATATATTATATTATCAATAATTATAGATCGTGTAGGAAAAACTATCTTATATAATTAAACTATTAGAATATATGCATCATATTAAAAAGGAGAAAAGAGAATAGCCGTTAGTTTTATTAACATGTAATCATGAATATACAAGTATGTAGGAACACGTTATTATGTTTCGTAATTGAAAATTACTATCATTATATTTCTTTTTGAGATATATCAATTTTATCGTACATGTTGGATGCGATTACAATAAAAATTCATCATATAAAATAATATTGTTAGTATTTAATAATATCTAATTAATTATGCATGTTCCTGCGTACCTGACTATATGAATATTGATTGATATGAAAGTAATTTTATAATCTTCATTTTATTGTCATAATACTACGGCGTGTACTTAATTAAATGTTCAATTCGAAAACAGTTATTGCACAATATTATTTATCATGCATACATGCACGATTCTGTAGTTTTTTTTTTTTTAAGTAAAATAAATATATCATTTTTAAAAAGAATCTGCATAAATATGATAAAAATAAATTGTCTAAACGTATGTATTTAATAATGAAACATTGATCTGTATCTTTTACTTGCTAAAATAAAAAGAAATGAAAATGAATTTTAAAACACATTGAACGCTGGCACTTGCATTGCTTGTCTATGACTTAACAGTTATTGACTTCTAAATACATTTTTCCAGATTTACCATTGATCCGATATTTTATAGATCTTCTTCTGTGTTTCGTTAAAAATTAAACAAATGCAGAAAAAGTAAACAATAACAAGTAGAACACATTGACGCATAAAATATACTTACATAGTTTGAATATAAAAAGAATCTCACAGTAATGCAAAGCTGACGTTAAATGTGTAAAATATAATTAATATAAGCCAATTACAATATATTTATATTATTATAATAATAAAAACATAAAATAAATTGATAACTTAAACTTAGTTTAGATTAACATAATTGCATATATGCCTGGTAAATACTTTCATGTTCGCTTTTTTTTTTTTGTTTTTTGTAGTAACTGCATAAGGGAATAAAATATATATAAATATATATTTAATTCTTTTGATATGATATTCCAAATATAACTCTTTTTTTTCAATCTTGGTCACGTATATTCTTTTACACAATATTAGTTAATATATTACGTTTAAAAATTACTTATTATTGTTATAATAAGTATTTACAAGGATAAAATTTGAACGTTGTAACATTTGAATAAGATTAATAGCATTACATAATGTTTCCAATTTTAATGCGAGTAACAAATTATGCTATAATAAATATTAAACAAAGTTCTTTTCTTTTTCCTTTTTTGATTCCAACCGATTACATTTTATTGTTTGAATTTTTATTCTATAAAAGAATACTCTGTTCCCTTGCACAGTCAATACATTAAATTTATCTTATTTATTATTATTTCATAGAATCGATTAACTTTATTTATTTACTTATTATAATTTTGAATAAGATTATATTAAAAAAGCTGTAATAAAAAAATCAATGATATACGCACATGCAAATAATTAATTAATTAATTGCATGTTTTTCTATACGTTGGTCATTTTTTTTTAACTGGCTAATTATACTCGTTAGCCGTTTTAATCGTAGTAAATTGTCTGTACAACGAATGAACTTCATTTGGAATACAAGGAAAATTTGAAATTTTTGGTTTTTGTTTCTTCTATTTTAATAATACTATTATTATGCACTATTTTGTTATTGTTGTCTCATAGTGTAATTACAATAATCTTATACGAGATTGATATAAAAACAAAGGATTCCATATATAAAGATGTGTCTATAAAACATCATTATTAGAAAACCAAACCAGATTTGATTGATACGCATACATATAAATCAATTTAACATTAATAATATATGTATCTGTATCAATGATAAATTGAAATTGCGAAATAAAACTTTTTTTATAATACGTTTTGTTGAAATATATGCATACCTAATCCAAACCGTTGTTGGAAAAAAATGTAGATATAATTAAGTAGCGAATGTTAATACATACAAATTGATTAACGAATAGTCGGTTGATATGTAACAACCTTTCAATGTATAATAAGAAAAAGGATAAATGAAAAAAATGGTAATGGAATAAAATTGTCTATATATTTAATATTATCTGTAAACAAGTTTTGGTCAACGACAGTTAAATTAGGTATATGTATGATTACATTTAATATCTACATTTGGTTTTTTTGAAAAAAAAAAAAAAAAAAAAAAAAAAAAAAAAAAAAAAACAAAAATGTCGTATAGAAAAAGATGTTATTTAACAATTTCAATTTATTATTTCAAGAAGAGTCAGTTCTATTCCTGGTTGTACCATGATTAGTGGGCCACTGTGTATATACACACATACGCACAATGCATACCATCACAGGAAATATATTACAATGATATTGTGCTGTGCTTTTACAAAATTTAAAATATGATTTGGAATAGTCGTTAATGAAACGTAAAAATAGTCGTTAATTACAATCTATCGAATAAAAACATCGAGGGTATGTTTACGACCTCGATTTCAATTGAATATATTAACTTTTCCCCAATTTTATTGTGATATGATTTCGTTTTTAAATCCCACTGTATTTCGAGCTTCTTATAGTCATCATAGATGAATATGATTAGAATTGTATACATACGTATGCAACGTATCTTAAATGATATAGAGAAACATGATCAGTGAGTAAGAATTTTAAAGAAATAAAACAATTTGTGCACAGAGAGTGATAACGTTTCTTGTTTACTCAAAAATTTGAGTATCGGTATGACAGATGTTACATAGTTTTAATTATTAAGCAATTTTCTTTCATTTTATTCTTTCATTGCGTCTCATTATATTCAGTATTAGAACATAGATGAATATATTATTATACTTGAATAATCCAATTAAATAATCATTGTCCTTAAAGTGGGAGATTGTACTGATATAAAATGAAAAGTAAACTTTTAATGGCTAACTTTAAAGGAAGATTACTACCATTATTAATCTTTTATCATCAATTAATGTACGTGTGTGTATTTTTTTTTGGTCTTAACAATTGTATATTATGATTAAATTCTTAAATAAATATCTAGTATAAACTATATACTTATTAAACACAACAAATAAAACTTATTTATGATAAGTTATAAAAACAGGCATTTTTAAAGATAAAAGTAATATACGTGTATTATAATAATATTATTATAATATTATTATAATAGACATATATCACTTTTACATACACACATCTTATTATTCCTTACAGTATGAAGTAATATACAAATTTAACATGTGTATGATGCGCGCACACATGCGCTTATGTACACATACGCATACATACCTATATAATTTATTTGATCTGCAAAATCTTGACCGTATTAATATTGAACTGCATGAATTATTATATAAAATCTCATGAATTTTATGTAGATTTTATATTGTTATTGTATCGTTTTTTTCCCATTATCACAGATTGTTTTTTAGTGGTAGGCCTAATGTTTATATCAGGTATAAAAGGCCAGCAATCGACTAGTAAATTTAATAAAATCTGCTTAAATTCATCTTCAAGCAATGACATTGCCATCATGCTTCTAATGTTGGAAATAGTCTTGTTAGAACAAAATAAGCCACATCATCGTTACTCCAATATCTAGTATGAGCTACTACTGCATATAAATAATTTCTACCTAATCCAACTGCTCGTAAAACGTAATCCAAACGTTGCGTTAGCTCTAATGAATATACAAAATGTCATTATACTTTAATATATTAGGCGAATTCAAATTATTATAATTTATAAATGAATACCTTGTCCTGGACGGATTGGTGGATTTGAGTCAGGTGTCGGCGAAGATGATCCTTCTTTAACATTCCAACCTGCTCTAACTAAACCCCAAAGACTCCATCCTTTTTCTGTATTACGATTGGACACGTCTACTGGACTATCTTCTCTTTCCTCAGTCTCTATTAATATAAGAAAATGTATAAAAATTAGATATTACGTATTTCACTACTTCCTTTCTCCTCAGAATCAATTCTCCAAATCCAATCAGCTCAGTGGTTCCCAATTTTTTCACGAATCCTACATATTCCTCTCTCTACGTACATATTATTTAAATATTTAATAAACACATACCAGTTGGAGATAGATTTTGATCTGCGTTAACTACTGACGAGGGTTCCATTTGTAATTCATCAACTCCACCTCCATACGGTGGTATAACAACTGGCTCAATTTTACTATATCCTCTTTCCAAAAGTGGTTCCATACGATATGCAACAGGATCAGACCAGTGAAATATATTATAAAATCTTTTGCAGAGACCTTGAGGCATTACATCTAATCTATTGGACGGTGTACGTGTACGTAATGCTAAAAACACTGATAAAGGAGAACCCAGACAAAATAAGTTCTCAATCTATAAATAAGAAAATGTCATAATTAAATATTTGTGTATTGCATTTTGTAGAAACATTATAAGATAATGGCTAAAATTACTTACAGGAAATTGTAAACCTTGCAGTAATACTTCTTGATCAGGAGACGGAGGTCTTGTGTCTGGACCCATCCATCCTGTAACTATATCATATACGATGACGCAGCCCAACGAATGTGCCAAAATTGAAACTTTGCCTTTCCAGTCAGGATGTCTGCTAGTGAACATGAAATATAATCTATTCAATTCTTTTTGTAATCCAGCTCTTACTTCTCCACCATAAAGAGGACTTGTATAATAAAGTATATCCATTGCTGACGTATTTAATAGATGACGAATACTTAAAACACTGTATGGTGTGATAGCTTCAACTATATCTAGAAATATGTATACAAAAATATATAAATAATCGTTATGACTCATTGCTTTCTTATAACTTATAAACCTATAATTAATACATCAACGCGTATAATCTTGCTTACCTCCGTCAAGTTTCAAGGATGATCTCCATTCAACGGGGAAAAATTCAACCCTGTAATTTGAGTGTGGAAAGAACCGTTGTTTCAATCGTTCTATGCATTCTCTAAATCTGTTAAAAAAGAAATCATTTAATTAATCATTTATATTAATGTGTGATAGTGTTAAGGAAATATTTTTAATTAAATTAAAGCTTTACCCATAAGATTTAATAACAAAATAAAATATACAAAATCTTACGATGTCGTATTGCGTATTATTTTTCCAGTATCTCTTTTTTGACCAATTCCATGAACAACAAATACTAAATGATCAATATCTTGAGGCTTATCTTCCATTATGGCAGGAATTTTATATCCTCTTTTTATTCGATATCCTGTGGCTATAATATTCATTGCATATTTAAGTATATTTATATAGTACTATAATATAAAATAATAGAATTATTTTTGTAAAAAGAGAAAAGATCAGTAATATTAAATTACTTAATCCATTCAAAATTTAAGATCTGTAAGATATATGTACTATCATTTTGAAAAATGCTAATGAGTATAGTAATGAAAAAGTAATTACTTTTAGGCAAGCCCAATTTGGATGTAACGCTACGCATTAATTTACTTGTTGTATATTCACTGTATAATGCAACATAATCTATTGAATGCCAGTCGACGTGAAATTCTGGAAAACATTCCGTATGTAATACTGAAACATTAATGTATTAATCAATATTTCAATTTATGTAATGTAACATTTATTTTACATTTTAAAAATTGTAAGTTCATGCTAAATATCTATGGGTGATTATAGTCACCGATAAAGCACAAAAAGTGTAAGCATCAAATAAGTTAATATGAAAAATAGTTGATACCTTTATATGAATAAGAAGAGGCATTTGTTTCAGGTGTTGATTTATACTGTTCCGAAGATGGTTTTGGAAACAATTTGAGATGAACTTCTTCTATGACTTTAGAATGTTCTATTTCCAATGGTATCCAACTACCATCGTAATACCACGTACCTCTCATTATTTCCCATTCTTCACCTATTAATTTAAATGTAATATAATTAATTTCTCATATCAAATTAAAATACATTATATCATATATCGAAGTAAAATAAATGAGAATGTGAATGATATTAGCAAGAGTTAGAGAAAATACAGTTTTTCTAAAAGTGTGTATTGTGTTAAAAAAATTGTGGTAACGACAAGGAGGTAGCCTAAATATGTAACAATAATTATAAACATAGATTGACATTCATGGTATATGTACAAATGCATAAAAATGATTTAACTAAATTATTATAGCGAATTTCCATATGAGAAATTGATATTCCTATTACTGTTGCTATTGCTCGATCAGTTGAAGGAAATTGGCTATGATAAACTTGAAGAAAAAAAGATCATATAAAAATAATATTAGATACTCGTCAGATTGTGAAAGATTATATATACAACAATTATAATAATAAACAGGATGATGCAAAAAAATCATAAAATGAAGAATACTGAGATCCATAAATTATGGTCTTAATTGTTTCATAAAACATACATAACATATAAAAATATACAGGATATAAGAAAAGGATATATTTCACTGTTTGAATTGATATGTATGCTTACACCTGCTCAATGTTGGCATTTATTCGCAATTATTCCATGATTCTCAATGTTTATGGATACATAAAACTGGATACTATGCAGTCAATTATTAGCAGTCTTCTTATACAAATTAAGATTATTAAAATTTATTATTCGCTATCTTATAGTCTCATATGTCGTTTAGACTGTTTTTAATTGTTCTCATATATATATATCGATTCAATTATTTAGATCAAAATAAGATATACGAAAAATGATTTAAACTAGTAAAATATTTACTTCCGAGATACTTTTAATGTCTGCATTATTATTACGATATTTTTTGTAAATAAATTTTTTCCTCTTCGCCGTTCCCACATATGTTATATTATCAACGATAATAATCTTCGTCGTGAAGTATATTAATCTTTAATCAAAGTGTATATATATATATATGTATATATGTATATATATATATATATATAAAATACAGACTATCTACAAATATTATTCGACAGAAATAAGTATTAAATATAAATGATGAAATTATTGTTAAATAAAAATCAGCACCTGGCCAATATATAGAGATACATTTCATATTATCTATTTCCGTATCATACATTCCTCCTCTAACAACGACTTTCTCAGCAGGTGGCAATTCATTACTTTTACCATCATTTTTACTAAGAAGACATTGTCTCTCTTGCCAAGCCGTTTCTATTCGCAAACTATCATATCCACAAAACTCGACCCATCTTTTATCGACTCCGCCTTTGTAAAACCAACGTATTTCTTCAGGTGTAAGCGGTTCGGCATAAGTTGGTTCATTAATTGTACTTTTAGTATCTTCTTTTGTACTTTGTGTACTTTGTTCGTTATCCACATCTCCATTCCCTTCAATAATAATAATCATAGGAAATTGAATTATTTCACTCTTGCATTATCGCTTACCATTATAATTGTACAATAGTACAATTTAATACCTTCACAAATATCTATTTCCAAAGCAACTTCACTGAATGGATCTACTGCAATTGGATTACTGGACATTCTTTATTAACGCTGTAAGCCTTTTGAAACCCTCTATTATTTCAACAACAACAAAATATACAAAAATGTATATATATAGATGACTGATTCAATAGTCGCATTTAAACTGCACAATGCATTTCAACGAGAAATGATAATAATAGCACTCAAGTACAATATAATCATACAATATTAAGTTACTTACGATTGTTTAAACACTTTATAAAATGAATATTTTATATAATTATTAAATTAATAATTTAATTTTTAATATTACACAAACAAAAATAATTATTTACTTTTATTTGATACGATACAAAGAAAGCAAAGAAAAAAAGAAAGATAGAACAAAAATAATAATACAAAGACACGGTGACAGGCAGCGACGTTAGAAATATTATCAAGATACTTAAAGTACTCCCCCCTTTAGAATATATGAAAATAATTAACGTGTGTATTATCGAAATATATAATTGATCTTCGTAAACGCACTGTAAGAAGACTGATTCATTTCTCTGAACTGTAATCTTATATAACTACATTTGATTTCCGAATGGGTTTCCGCTTTGCAAACGCAATATGTTTAAATTCCAGAACTTAGACAGCTGATCGTCAATGGCACTAGCATAGTTACAAAAGAAGACTAATGCAATAGGCATACATGTGATATCTATTACATGCATGCAACTTTCAATGCATTGTATCATAATCTGCACTGTATTTATCGTAACCTACCGCGCGTGTTCTAAAGTATGCAACTTACATCACCACACATTTATACGCATATATATGTGTGTGTATATATATATATATATATATATATATATATATATATATATA